ATATAAATGCAGATAAGAAAAACAATATCCATCACAATTGCTAATCACATAAATACTTGGAAGCAAACTTACCTAGAGACACAAAACACCTATACAAGAAAATTACAAAACATTATTACAAGAAATAAAAACGACCTGGAAAAATGGAAGAGACTTGGAAGAATATACAATGCTCATAGACAGGAAAACTCAGTATGGTGAAAATGAAAATTATATCAAAAACCGTCTACACATTCAATGCAATTCCAATACACATCAAATTCTATTCTTCAATAAGATAGAAAGGCAATTTCTAATTTTATCAAAAATGGAAAAAGACCCCAAATAAGTAAAGCAAGGAGGCATCACACTCTCTGATCTCAAATCCTACTACAGTCATGGTGGTCAAGACAACATGGTACTGGTACAGGGGCAGACATATAGATCACTGGAGTAGAGCTGAGAACCCAGAAATCAGCTCATCTACCTATGGACAATTGATTTTTTTTTAATTTTTTTTTACAAGGAGAAAAAAAAAAACAGTTAAGTGGGGGAACTATACTCTTTTTACAAATAGTGTCGGCAAAAAAGGAAAATTATGTAGAAAACTCAAGCAAGACAGAACCCTCACACCATGTTGTTGTTATATGCTGTCAAGTAGCCTGCGACTCATAGCAACCATATATACAACAGCCCTAAACTCTGCCCTATCCTGTGCCAACCTCACCATCTCCGACACACCTGTCCCCATTATTACTCTAGTCACTGAATCAATACATCTCATCGAGGGTCTTCCCCTCCTGCGCCATCCCTCCACACTCCCAAGAATGATGTCCCTCTCCAAGGACTGGTCCCTCTTTGCAATATGTCCAAAGTATGTCAGATGAAGCTTCAGAAGCCTTGCCTCCAAGGAGCAGCCTGGCTTCACCCTCTCCAGGACAAACCTGTTCATTTTCCTACCAGTGCATGGTATATTCAATACTCTTCTCCAACACCACAGCTCAAAGCCATCAATTCTCCTTCTATCATCCCTAGTCATTGTCCAGCTTTCTGATGCATAGCAAGTAACTGCAAAGACCGTGGCATATATCAGGCACGCCTGTCTCAAGACTGACATCTTTGGACTTCAGCACTTTAGAAAGGTCTCTAACCACAGACTTTCCCATTGCAATATGTCTTAATTTCCTGGCTGCTGGTGCAAAGAGTGTTGACTGTGAATCAAGCAAACCAAAACTGTGAACAATCTCAATTTCTTCACCATCCATTATGACCATTCCAATCAGACCAGTAATGAGAATTTTTGTTTTCTTGATATTGAGTTTCAATCCACACTGAAGACTGCAGTCCCTGACTCCACAGCAAGTGCTTCAGGTCCTCTTCAGTTTCAGAAAGCAAGGTTATATCATCTGCATAATGTAGATTTTTGATGATTGTACATTCTTCCTCCAATTCTGATTCCACATATCTCCTCATAGAGCCCAGCCTCTCGGATAAACTGTTCTGCATAAAGATTGAAAAGGTATGGCGACAGGATACAGCCCTGGTGTACACCCTTCCCAATGTTGAACCATGCAGTGTTGCCCTGCTCTGTTCTGATGACTGCCTCCTGGTCCAAGTATAAGTTTCACATTAGCACAATCAAATATTCTGGGATTCCCATTCTTCTCAGAGTCAGCCACAGTTTGTAATGATTCACACACAACCAAATGCCTTTGCATAATCAATGAAACAAAGACAATCTTCAGATATTCCTTGCTTTCAGCCAAGATCCATCTAGTATTAGCTACAATATCCCTAGTACCACAGCCCCTTGTAAATCCAGCCTGCACTTCTGGTAGTTCTCTGCTGATGTGCTATTCCAGTCGGTTTTGGATAATCTTCAGCAAAATCTTGCTTGCATGTGATATTAATTATATTGTTCGATAATTTTCACACTCTGTGGGATCACCTTTCTTTGGAATGGGAACAAATACAGATCTCTTCCAGTTAGTTGGCCAAGTGGATGTTCTCCAGATTTCTTGACACAACTTAGTGAGCACATCTAGGGCAGCATCTGTTAGTTGAAATATGTCCATTTATACCATCAATTCCTGGGGCCTTATTCTTAGCCAATTCTTTCAAAACAGTCTGAACTTTTTCCCTTATCACTTTAGGGTCTTGCTCAGATGTTGTTTCATTAAATTCTTCTGTGTCTGCCAATTCTTTTTGGTATAATGACTCTGTATACTCTATCTTCTTTTAATACTTGCAGGATCACTCAATATTCTGCCCAAACCATCCTTAAGTATTGCAACTCGAGGTTTGAATTTCCTCTTCAGTTCCTTGAGCTTAAGAAATGCTGAGTGAGTTCAGCCTCTTTGATTTTCTGACTCCAGCTCTTTGCACATTTTATTGAAATACTTTACTTGTCATGTCGCTCAGCCTTTTGTAATCTCCTGTTCAGCTCCTTAATATCTTGATTTCTTTCTTCTGCTTTGGCTTCTGGCACTCCAGTGCAATATTCAGTCTCTTCTGACATTCATTTTGGTCTTTTCTTCCTCCTCCGTCTTTCCAATGACCTTTTGCAACCTTCCTGGCTGATATTCTTGATATCGTCCCATAACTCATCTGGTCTTCTCTCATTAGTGTTCAAGGCCCCAAACCTGTTCCTGAGATGGTTCTGAAATTCAGATGGGATAGACTCATGGTCATATTTTCATCCCTGTGGGCTTGATTTCACTTTTCTTAGCTTCAGCTTAAACATGCATATGAGTAGTTGGTGATCTGTTCCATAATCAGCACCAGGCCTAGTTTTCACAGCTGATACTGAGCTTCTCTAGCAGTTCTGTCCACAGATGTAATCTATCTGATTCCTATGCATACCAGCAAGTGAAATCCATGTATATAGCCTGTGTTTATGTTTCTTGTAAAATGTATCTGCAACAAATAAATTGTTGATTGTGCAAAATTCTATCATCATATCTCCAGCTTCAAAAATCAACTCAAGATGGTTCAAAGACCTAGAAGTAAAATTAAAATTGTAATTTCATAGAAGAAAATCTAAGAACTCTACAAACTTTATTTCACAATATGAACAGTCTTCCAAACAATGAAAAACCTACAAACAATAGAGGAAAAAAAAATAGATTAATGGGACCGTCATATTCCTATGCACATCAAAACGCTGCTCCAACAGGATAAAAAGAAAGCCCACAGACAGGGAAAAAGATATTTGGCAATGACATATCTGAAAAGGGACTTGTATCTAAAATTTCTAGAATATCCCAGCACCTCAACAAGAAAATAACTAAACACCCAATCTGAAAATGGGCACAGGATATGAAGACATTTTACCAAAGCAGTCAGACATTCAGATGGCAAACAAATACATGAAGAAATGTTTAAAATCCCTAGCTATCAGAAAGATGCAAATAAAAACAACAAAGAGATATCATCTCATTCCAGCAATAATAGCAAAATTCAAAAGAGTAACAAACAACAAATGCTGGGAAAGTTGTGGAGAGATTGGATCCTTTATTCACTGCTTGTGGGAGTATAAAATTGGTGTAACCACTATGGAAGGTTTTCTTAAAAGGTTGGAAATATAAATACCATTTGACCCAACAATTCCATTACTAGGAATACACTCTAAAGAAACCAGAGCTGCCACGCAAACAGATGCATGTACACACATGTTTACTACTGTGTTACTCACAATAGTAAAAGAGATAGAAACAAACCAAGTGCCTATCAACAAACAAATGGAAAGAAAAGCTATGGTACAATCACCCAAAGGAATACTATGCAGCACTGAAAAATTATTAACTTCTAAAATATTACACACCATGAGTGACATTATGTTGAGTGAAATATCTCAGTTACATAAGGAAAGATACTGCATAACATCACTGTTATAAAGCAGGATTGATGGGGCAGGTTGAGGGAGAAACTAGGAGAAGGGTGGATAGATAATGAACACTGCATTGGAACAGACGGGAAAGAATTGTCTTAATAGAAATATATGATTTGGCATTTTATGTAAGACAACAGTCCAGAAGAAGAGATACATTACGAAGTGGACTGGGGGAGTGCAAAGGACAGGGATGAGAGGAAACTGTGCCACAATGAATGAATATTTAAATTTAAAAAAAAAAAGAAAGTGATCTGGGGAGGGGGAAAAGAGGAGGAGGTAGGAAATGGTGCAACAATGAATAAAAGAAAACCCAACTTTTCTGTAAACTTTCATTAAAATGACAATTTAAAAAATTGGTATAAAAAATAAAATTTGCTGCTTTGTTGAACTCTAGGAAAGTCTTGATATTTCTTCAAAAGTGAATTAAAAATATCTACAGAGCTTTCACATTATTGTATTTCTAGAAATCTCTCTATGTTATAGGAGTTTTCATACAGTTATAAGGGTCTTATTTCGTACAACTCACCTTTTATTTTTTTTCTCTTCTCAGTAGAGAGCCTCCAGTCAGGATTAAGAGCATCATATCCGGGCTAAATAAGAAAAATATACACATGACTCTGACAACCATGTAAGAAAACAATGAGAAAAATCATTTAAAACTAAAAATTTTTTTATATGTGTAAGACGTAGATATTATGTTTTATCTGATCCCTCATATCTATCTGAATATTGTCCCTTCTCTATAACCATCGTAAAAAGCCAACTGTGTATATTTAAAATATACACAGGCAGGAACTGCAATTCAATCTAATGAAGAAAACTGCATACAAAAGAACAGTAAAATATAATGTACAAAATTAATACAAAGGAAGACACATCAAGAATTCATTCACACACACACACACACACACACACACACACACACATGTTGTTGGATAAACTCACTGCAAGTGGAGGCAGTTTTCAGAGACAGTAAATTTCACAGAAGAAGCCAAAACAGCATGGTCTTAGTACAATGAAAGGGACATAGACCAAGGGAACAGAATAAATAACCCATCTGTCATGGTCAATTGATATTCAACAAAGAAACAAAAGTCTATCAAATGAGGAAATGACAATGTCTTCAACAAATGGTGCAGACAAAACTGGACTACTGTCTACAGAAAGTGGAAACAGGGTCCCCATCTCACACCATACACAAAATTCAACTCAAGGTGGATCAGAGATCTAAAGTCCAAAACCATAAAGATCATAAGAGAAACAATGTTTAGAAGGTCTAGCCTATTTTATAGAGAGGTGACAAATACAGCCAGAAATGTGCACATCAGGAAAGGATAAGGTTAATAAATGGTCCCTTCTAAATACTAAATCTCTGTATGCATCAAACATTTTCCAATGAGGCAAAAAGAAACTCTACCAACTGGGAGGAAAAAAATTGTCAGCACCATCTCAAGTAAGGATCTCCTATAAAAAAGGTTTACAAAATTCTACTGGGCCTCCACAAGAAAGACTGACAACTCAATTACAAAACAGGCAAAAGACATGGAAAGATTTTTCACAGAGCAAGACATCTGGATGGCCAACAGACACAGAAAGAAATGCTCAAAATCACTGGCAATAAGAGAGATAGAGGTCAAAACCACAATGAGAACTCACCTCAGTAGCAGGGGCAAAATTTAATAGGACAGCAAGCAATAAATGTTGAAGAGGATGTGGAGAAACAGAAACTCCTAAACACTCTTGGTGAGATTGTAAAATAGCACACAATCAGTCTAGAAAGCAGTTTGGCATTTCCTCAAAAAGCTGAAAATAGAAATTTCATATGACCTAGCTATCTCCACTGTTTGGAATATACCTCAAGAAAATTATAACAGACACAAATGGAGATATGTACACCAATGTTCACAGCAAAATTATCCACCATCACAAGAGCATGAACAGCCCAAATGTTCAACTGCAATCAAATGGATTGAGAAATTTTGGTAAAATCAAACAATGCAATAATATGCAGCACTCAGGATCAATGATTTTGAAAAATACTATGTAGCTTGGGAAAGATTGGAGAGCATTATACTGAGGGAACTAACTCAGTCTCCTAAAGACAAATACTGCATAAGACATCACTGTAAAAATAGAAAGATAACCAGTAAAATGTGTATAGGAATCCAAGAGGGAAAGGAGTGGGAACAAAAGGATGATAATGGGCATAGGAGATGCTCATCTCTCTTTCACCTGCAGAGCATCTGGTGAATTTTAAGTGTTTGAATTAGCAGCACAGCTCTTTACCACTAAACCACCAGAGTCCTACATGTGCGTACACCCATTAGTCTATGGATAAGAGCTACTACTTTGTCAATAAACATCAGCCTGTACACAAGTAAACTAAGCTTCCCTCTAATATTTGGTTCCCATAGCTCTGAAAGTTGACTGGCTAGTTTGTATATCAACTCTCATTTCTAACATTTTATGACCACAAATTACATGAAGTAAAAAATACAATCATACCATTTTCAAACTGAATACATTCTACCCTAATTTCATGGTGACACAGTGTCGTTCCCAGCTTTAAGAATACAATGACAAATAAGTCTCCCAAATGCCATGAAAAAATTGAGACAGTCATAGTCAAATAATCTATCAAACTTCCAGAATTATAGTCCATGGAGAAATACTAGCCAAAATAGACTAGAGGTTAATTTGAAATCTTCAATTTAAATAAAGTCATGATATAGCTAAATCAAACCAACTGTGATTTTTCTTCTAAATTAACAACATAAAAAGAAATATCTTATTATCCATTTATCTGTGCCTCACACTAGAGAGTATCAAAGTAGTAATTCTGTCCTAGATCTGAAAGAAGTTCTTGTTATGCAGAACCATAATAACTCACTCAGTAGACACAGAGAAAATGTTTCTTTAAACGTTATTAGGGAAAAAATTTACCACAAAATATCATTTAAATACTATGAAAAGAAACTGAGTATTTTAATTTAAAAAATCACAAAAAGATATTTAAAATAATTAGAATACAATACTTGTTGTTTTGCACTGTCTAGTCAAATTAACTCATAAGTGACCCTCCAGTGGTTACTAATGGGCAGTAATTAGAACAGAAACTGTTTTTCTCTTTTTCATGCAATGTGATGCTGAACACTGTGACACTGATGTGTCATATGTGTAATGGTTACCTATGGTGGACAGTGTTTGATGGAGCTTCCTGATTAAAACAAGCTTGAAAGCAATACTGGCATCCACTTCTGAAATGGCTTGCCTCCAGAAACTCTATGAACTTGGAGAAATGATGAAAGTTATACAAATGTTCAGACCTTTCATTCACAGGGTCGGTAAGAGTCGTCTACGACTTGACGGCACTTAGTAATAACAACAACAATGGAATAGCTGGTGTATTCAAAAACAGGTACCTTTAGGCTGGCAAAACAACTTCTTTCCACTTAGACATCAGAGCTCCTTAAAATACAGTTTAGGTACATTTTATTAAAAATAACCAATAAAAATAAAATATCATCAGACCATTTACATGATACTTCAGAACTTTCCAGTGCCTCAAAATTAGCACTTTACATGCACAATTAGCACTCAACTCATTGTTGTTAGATTGCTTCAAGCTGACTTCAACTTAAGAAGACCCTATGAACAACAGATTTGAGCCTTGCCCTCTTGGGCAACATCCTCATGTTTTCAAATCTGCTCAAGTCCATTTTTGCAATCACTGTGTCAATCTATTTTGTCCAGGATCTTCTTCCTTCTCTGACCTTCCACCTTTCCTGGTATAATGTCTTCTTCCAAACACTGAAAGAAAGCCAAAAGTATGAGAGACAAAGTTTTACCTTTCTTGTCTCTAAGCAGTACCTTCATTGTACATGTTCCAAGACAAATATGTCTATTCTTTGGGCAGTTCTTAGGATACTGAGTACTCTTCTCCAACATCACAACTCAAAATTCTTCACTTTTCCTTATTCACTGTTCAAATTGCACAGGAAGCAACAGAAAATAAGATGGGTTGGATCAGGCACATCTTAGTTTTTACACTAACATCCTTGCTCTTTAGCACATTGGAGAGGTCCCTAACAGCAGATTTCCCCAAAATAACATGTCTTTTTGACTTCTTGACTGCAGTTACAATGAGTACTGATTGTGAATCCAGGCAAAATGAAATCCTTGACAAGGTCAATCATTTTTCCATTTTACCTATTGGCCCAGTGGGGATGTTAAGATGTAATCCATATTCAAGGCTATAATCTGTGATCTTCTGCAGTAATTGTTTCAAGTCTTCTTCACTTTCAGCAAGCAATGTCTTGTTATCTACAAAACACAGTTGTTGGTGACTCTTCCTTTAATCTTGATGTGACATTCTTCTTCATATAATCTAGCTTCTCAAATAATTTGCTCAGATAGAAAAAAGATAAAACCCTGATGTAGATTTTTCTTGATTTTAAATCATGTCATTTTCTTGTTCAGTTCAAAAAACTGCTTTTTGCTTTCTGTATAGGTTTCGACCGAAGTTCTGAGATTTCCATTCTTCTCAACTTAATGTCATAACTTGCTTTGATCGACACAATTACACACAAGTATATTCTTTCTATACATCCAGCCATGATCCATCTGACATCAACACTGTCAGGCTTCATTCCATGATCTCTTCTGAATACAGCTTAAATATCTTGCAATTTTCTGTCATTGTACTGTTTTAGCTTGTTTTCCAAAATCTTCGGCACGATTTTACTTTCCTGAAAATAGATTACTGCTATTGTTTAATAATTTCTATACTCTCTTGGATCACTTTTTTATGAAGGGAAACAAATACGGATCTCTTCCAGTCAGTTATAGCAGCACTATATTAAATATATTTTGAGTTATACATATAATGCCAAGAAAATGAGAATAATAAAGTTTCAATAATAGTTGAGGATTATGTCAAGTTATATCACAATTATATATGTACATATAT